CATAAGTGTGTTCAGTCCGACCTATAAAAAGCATTCGAAGGTTAAAGAAAATCTTCTATTGTAGGAAAGAATTTAGTTCTCCTTCGTTTGATATCATCTGATCATAATAGCATAAATATTGATGAAAAATTAGTATAGAATTTTTATGTTATTATATTACTGTGGAGTTTATTTAAAATTTTGATATATAGAAATATATTTCAAATATGATAATAGTGTTTATTTTATTCTTATAATATGATATAAAAATATAACAGTTTTGAATATAGGAAAAAAAAGAAGTTTACTTTTTCGAAAACGACGATTTACGAAGTGAGGAAGACGACGATTTACGAAGCGAGAAAAGCGAGTTTTTTCTCTTTTCACAACGTTCATTGTTATTTATTTCTTTGACATTTCCGTAGGTCTTGGAATTTTTTCGTTGTATAGAATTGTTTGTTCGTAGAGTTGTCTCCATTGATGTTTGTTGATGTTTTTCAGAAGATCTCTTGGATAGTCTTGGTATTGAGTTATCAAATGGTCCTTGCTGATCTTTTTTTTTTCCTATTAATTTTGACCAAACATCACAAATATGTTTTCGAATAGTTTTACAGATTGTCGTTACGAATAATTCTATAGGATTGCTAGGCAATTTGGGCCGTTTCATGAGAAGTTATAAAATAAAACTGCGTAAAGCATTCGATAATTACACGTATTATTATATAGACCACTCTCTTTTGTTTAATTATCCATACATAAAAAGAAACAGAACAAATGTGACTAAATATACACACACACACACAATGTTTTTTATTTGAATATCATATATTCATCATATAATAAGTTACCATTGACGCAAATATTCACTCCCAGTGCAAATATACATCGATAATATCCTATTTTTATGCGTGTCTAATGTTTGTGTGGGTAACATAGTATTTTTTTTATATAAATAATTCTTCTTTAAAAAACATCATGTTATCCTACTATTTTCAATTAGATGAAATCTGTAAGGGAGAGATTTTTCGCTAATATTAAATACCTCCTGCAGATAAGGGTCATCCATTACGGACGTCCAGGTACCAATCGCATACTTTGATCTGCCCTCCTCACAATGTGAATCTAAACGGACATTTGGGTAAAAGTGAAAATCGCACTTTTTCAAGATTTAAATATAGGGAAATATACATCGAAATATAGTCTGTCTAATGATATAAATAACTTTGTTACAACCCACAAAGAAACTAACAACTATATTTTCTGAATTTCCAAGCCGAGGTCTATACAATAGTAAAACATTTTTTAATTTGCACATTTAACTTCTGAGAAGAAAGATAATACTTGTTTCTAGAGTATCGTCCGAACAGCTAATCTCTTAAAATGAGAAATCCATCCACATCTAACCTCCAAACTTTGCTAGAATGTTTGTCTATCTACTGTCTCTAATCTCTATTAGCGGAAACATTCTTGGACTGCATGGTGGGTTTACAGCAAACCTAGAGTTTTCAGTTTTTCTGGCTTTGGAAAAATACTCAACCGATTAACAACAGTATATATGGAATCAGCGTATCAAACTACGTCGAATGATATATAACACAAAAGCAAGAAAGTTACATGTCCACTCGCCATGCAAAAAATGCACACTGTACTTCTCTTTCTCTATCAAATTTCATCGAGTGTCCCTCACACCCAAAGACAAAACACACATTTGATAAACAAAAAAATTTAACCTATTGCACAGTTTTTGTTTTTGTAAATGCATTATAGTTTAATGAACAGAAAATTGTAAAAATAAAAACTGAAGTTCAATATCAATGACACTCGAAAATTTAACAATGTTCATATTACTACTCCAGAAAATCACCAGCTTGCCTATGTAGCATAATCTTCAATTATTTTAACATGATATTCATATTCAACTGATTGGTTCAGTTCATTTTCTATCTAAGATTGCTCTTCAAAATTTTGCGAAAAATTGTATGAAAAAAACACAGGAAAATATTCATAGTAAGTGTCTGGATGTCCAGAAATGTTTAACTTCTTCTCTACTCTCTTTCATTGAACTTCCTTAATGAATAACACCTTGTATGTAATAGTAATATTTATTAGTTCCTTGTCCGTTATAAAATGATATAGAAATGAAGCCAATCGTATTGTTTTCTATATGAATAAGCGACAAGCAAAAATAAACTAAAGATTTTACTCATTCGTGCCACGATAAAACTAAAAAGTCGAACTTTTTTTTTTCATATAGAAATGAGCAAAAAACGATAAGCAAAAGTTAATTAAATATTCAATGACGATCCAAGATTTAAGATTATAAAAAAAAGTATCAAATTAAAAAAATAAAAATATGATTATTTTGTCTTATTATTGATTATAGAAAACTTTATTTGATGGACGAAACTTGCTTTCAATGATTAGAATTATTAGTTGAGACATTCCAAAATATTCAAGTCTCTTTTTTCAACTGATTATACCTTCATTGGCTTAGATTATTAAGACGAATGATATACATCTCATTGCATAATAACTATTATTTTCTAAGAGAATGAATTGTTTTTATTCCTAATGATAATTATGACAGAACATAATTTATAATATATCAAATTGAAATATATAAATTTTGATTTTAACATCAAATAATAAACAAATTCTAGTTTTGCTCGAGCTATATAATAAAATAGTAATCAACCCTATCACGTTATTTGTTTGTCAAAGAAAGAATAAAAAAAAAAGATTAATGATCCACTCTAATATTATTCAGGTTTTATTTTTGTCTTTCTACATTGTATTGTTTTCATAAGACAAATGGCCAAAATATGTGCAATCCATAAGAATATTTTTCTATCATCATTCAATAAATTGTTCTATTAATCATCAATACGTGAGTCAATATTTTTTAAACATTAAAACTAAGATATATACTATTTTTGTTTCATTAGTTTGATAGAACATTTACATAGTGAGCAAACAAAGCAAAAAGAAAAAAAGAATTTTTTTTTAAAAATCACATTCAAAAGGAATGAAAAATCCTAAAAGCATACAAATACAAGTTATATTTAATAAATTGTTATATGAATTACTCTAACTCTGTTTCAATATTATTTAAAGTATTTTATGTTGATGTTTTTTAATGTCATGGATAATAATGGTTGATGAAAAGCATCGACTATGGCAATCTATAAAGATAAAAACAAAACGAGAGATAATATAAATAAAACTCAAAAGATTATATGCGACAAAAATGAAGAAAATAATGCGTTTTGTTCATTTGAGCCAGGAAAGCATTTTTCATTAGTTGAACAAAAACAAGAATAAAACGAATTGTACAAAAATACATACACGGAGTCCGAAAATTACAGCTTCCTCAACAAATTTTGCAAACAACAAAGATTTCATTCTCGATCTAATGTCATATCTATGGACACACAGCAGCAGTCTATCATCTACGATATTGATTGAATTTGACCAATTAGTGTTAATGAACAAATTCAAAAACTTTCGAATTTCTGCTGTTTCATAATTGTAGCATCCCACTCCTCTCTCAATATAAAAATATTGAATTAATACTAGTTTTGCCAACTAAAATGGTTCTTTTTTAGGATTTATTTGAAAGAGGAGACACTCAGTTACATACTGGAAAAAAAAATCTTCGAAACCTAATTTAACTTTTCTGTCATGTAAGAAATTAAATGGTAGAAAAGTTAAATTTCAATATTATCACTATATAGCTCGAGAAAAAGAAGTTTTCATCTCTTTAATGTAACAAAGCAGGTATTAGGGGATATTATTCTTATATATATATATATATATATTTATATGTATATGTATATATGATACGTAACCTTCAAAATCTTTATTTGATGTTCAAAAATCAACAAGAAAACGTATATCGAGAGAAAAGCACAGGAAGGGGAAACGTACCTCGCCTCAACTGACTAAAACTACGCACACGCATATATTTATATATATTTTCTGTCCAGGAAAACATGTATATATGTATATAGCGGTGGACGACGAAATGAAAGAAAAAGAAAGAAACCAAGGAAAAGAAAAAGATGATTGTGTATGTGAGGGTATAGCCCGTAACAGCCAACCCCCTGTTGAAAGGTGTGTCCGCACACATATCTATAAAGAAGAGAGAAAAGATTAACAACAATAACAATGAACTATATATAAACTAAGCATGACAACAAATAACAAAGACATAGAACGAAAGACAAAGAAAAAACTAATCGATGTTTTAGCAGAAAAAAAATATTATCCTACAAAAATCATTCTTTTTATTTATTTGTTTGTTCATCAAGGCGTAGTTTCTTTCGAATACGATAGTAATGTTGCTTGGTGAATAAGCCACTATGTAACATTTCGTCGGCTTCTTTTCGTATTTGTTCGTTTTTGACGCTCAAAAATAATATCCTTCCAACGACGTTGATATTCAAATATGAAATATTCATAAATATTAAGGTTTTTTTATATATTTCTAATGGTAAATTTATAATAAACGGGTCGAATTACTTCATACTGATATCCATTTGCTCGGTTTTTTCGATTTTTTTCTATGATTTCTTGTTAATAATTTGTAATATTGATGTGTCGATTTTGCTGACGTTGATTTACTGTTGTATTTTGTTTTATGTCATCGTCGAAGATAATTTCAGTTTCATTTGAGGGTTCATCTCGAGCATGAATCCCTTCATTATCATTATAATCGAATAATTGTTCTTGATATGTTTCATGTTCATTTGAATGACGTGGTTTATGAGGTAAATGTACTTTATTTCTGGAAGTGAAAAATAATCTAAATCATCATCACTTACCATTTCATAGGGTTCATCTTGCCCATGGACTCCTGTTAATATATTTCCCATTGGTTCACCATGCGTATTATCATCATTTAATGTTAAAATCTCAGGTGATGCATAAATTTCCACATGATCTTCAATAATTTTATTTTTTATATAAATAAATTGTCTCGGAATTGAAATTGTATGTAATGTTAAATCAATTCCACATCCTCAATTAGCAAGGGTCATTCTTTTGTCGAACCATTGATTAAATGTTAAATAAATAGCCATTTCTAATGAATATGGTTCATTGGCTTTGATCCGTACATAGAGTGATGATGAATGATTTTCATGATACCATTCTTTAAACTTGTCTTGTATGTGTTTTGGTTTAATTTGTTTAATACCATCTTCATTAAATAAATTATATTGGTAAAATTTTAATAATTGTTGTTCAACATCGCCCCATGCAAATATACGATGTTTGTTGGAGGAAACGGTTCGACAAAGTTTTTTAATTTTCTCAAATATGGGTGAGCTTTCATCAGGTAAATATAATGTTTCAATGAGTATAATGATCGACGGATGATTTTCACATACAAATTGGATTTGGATCGGTGTACCTTTTGATAGTTTACGTCGAGGTTGTAATTGATCTTCTGTATCTAATGTATAATGTGTTGCTACTATAGCATAATTAATTAATTCATTAAGAATATCAATTGTAGTTTCACGATGAATAAAATAATATCTATAATTAGAAGATAATATTTCAAATAAATCACATATATCTTCATGGTAAAGTTTTTTATATTTGTTATTTTCCAAAAATTTCTTAGGTTGATATCTATCAGTTAATTGATCTTATATTTCCAACGATGAAACATACGATGATTCGTTCGAATAACGTGATGATGCACGTTGATTATAATTTTTGTTCGTTGAATAAGTAAATTTCGGCATTCTGTATGTATAATATATTTCATGATAATGAATACGACTAGAGAGTAAATGAAAATGTAATAATAATATTAAATATCTAAAATGAAAAACAAACATATATGACCAGATCTTTTATCGAAAGTTCTCTTATCGTTTTGTTTTATTCCCATGAACCCGTATGAGCCTCACATGACACATCTCGAATTGCTGTCTAATGCTTTTAGTGATTTGACTGATGGAATAATTTGCGTCGCTATCTGATTATATTCATTTTCAAGTTTAGAGACGGACAAAATTCGATTAAGAGAATTCTCGATTCGTTTCGTATTTCATTCTAGCTATAGAAGAGACGTTGGTATGTGTTTTATAATAATGAATATTTGTGATTGGTGTTTCACTTTGCTTCAAAATACACCAATGCTCTTGTTTTTCCACCAGTTTATTGCACAGCACCAAATAATCAAATCATCTACCAAAAGTTTCGGAATGGACTAAACATTGTTTTAGTCACATCAGAATTTTAATACTCGTCTCATTCATTCCGCTAGAAATGCTCTCGTCTATTGTTGATCTAAGTCGTAGAAATGAATTATAGAAGATTGCCTTTCTTTTCTATATCCTATTCTGCTTTTCGAGATAGAGTTCCAAAAATGAAATTTAGAAGATCCTTGTATCAATTGTTTTAGAGCATAACTTAAGATCCCGCATTGTTCTTGTTTATTTTACCTTTTTTTTTTACAGACCTTCAATGACAAACGAATATCATCAGTGTATGATAATGATTGTGCAAAAAAAACTCCGACAAGGTCATGATATGACAAAAGTTGCGTTTACCAAGCAAGGTGGCGGTAAGATAAAAAGAAACATCACGATTACACATTTTATTCTCAGTCTTTTCAATCAACACAATGAGAGAACGAATGGTTTCATTCAAAATTCTCATCGTTTTCCTCATCTTGTTTTCGATCGAATGTATCAGCGCAACTGTAAACGATTACGAAAAAGTTTGGTACAATAGTATGGGCAATGCTTGTAATACGCGTCGTATGATACCATCGATACCGACAAATTATAGTGGAAAACCATGGCAACAAATTCTGTACAATACAACAATACAAGGAATAGGAACTGCAACTACTGGTGATCTTTATCTATTTCTGAGTGATAATCGAACTCATGCAGGTTAGCATTCACTGCATACATACTAAATTATGAAGAGTTTCATTCGAATTCGAGCAAGATTATCATCCATCTTGACCAAATGATTTTCTTAAAAAGACTCAAATATATGTGTATAGCAGTGTTCAGACAGAGATTACGCCCAATCTTGGATAAGAGAAAACGTTTCCTTTAAAACTTGAATTAGTCTTTCGATCAATGCCGGATTTGCATTCCTGTTGATAAGATGCGTTGAAACGATGTCTTTCCACTTGATACAATAGCCATTTGATCAAATAAGTTTAGAATTCGTAGAGTTATGGGTATTTTTATGCACGAAAACATCTTTTATGGAAAACCCTCCATAACTATTCGACTCAAAACTTAGTTTTTCGGTTGAGAATTGTAATCTTTTAGATGACTTTGTTTCATCACAGTTCAGCAAGAGCCCAAGTCGAACTTCGATCTAGAAACTGATTCATGTTTTAAAGAAAATTTTTCCGTCTATCTGATAATAGACTTATTCATTCTCAATCTTCAAGATTCGCCTACACTGTAAAAAAAATCCGCAGAATAATCAACCCTTGTACTTCAAAAAATTTTTCTTAAACTCTTGAAAGGTTCACCTCAGCAACATATACTCTTCAAGAGGTTTTGAATCAAAGAGTTTATGACGCATATTGAAGAACTTACTATTTAACGTTTCCATCAGGAAGATTTATTATTCCCAACGCAAAGATATATTACTGTGTGCTTTCACCTAGATTATTTATTATTCCACACGTAGAGATAGATTATTCCTCGTTTCCATTAGAAGAATTTATTCTTCTATGTTCAAGGATAGATTATTCTACATATCTAACACAATATCGATAGGAGAAAAAATAGACGAAAGTGTGTGTGTGAGTGGAAAGAGTTTGT